GTGAATCTTCTGAAATATTTTAGAGCGAAAAGATTCAGGTATGAACGGTCAAGGTATACCTGTGTCCATATTACAGTAAAGAGTAACATCTTCTAAAGGAAAGTAATGTTTCTCAAGTTTAAAAACTGATGAAGATTGAGATAAGTAATTTTGAATTTCAGAGTCCTGAATTTGTGCTTCGGATAGCTTTTTATAATCAATGTGTTGATTATCAGATACTGCATCTATTTCTACCCTAGATAAGGCATCAGTAACGATATTGTCACGACCTTTGATGTATCGTATGTCAGTGGAAAATTGGCCAATAAAATCAAGATAACGAAGTTGTCGTGGAGAACACTTTTCGGGCTTCTGCTTAAAAGCATATATTAAGCAGGGATAAATAGAAGGGCTAGGTCATTCCTTTGTTCGACTCCTCGCCGACGCGAGCCTCATGGAGGGGGGTGAACTGGAAGTAATCTGACGTGTCTGTGTTTCTGTGTTGCACCTGCTCTGATTTCGCGCGTTTAAAACTGTAGTTTCATTCAGTTGCGAGACGATTTTTTGAGGTCGCATATCCCAAATTAATTTTAACCATACATATTTGTTTTCTAATAATGCAAATATTTCACAATTTGTATATATATATATATATATAGTTTCAGTCAGTTTTCCTTTTAAATTCTATATTTAAAGTATCCTTTAAATGTAATATGGCTTCTTGTGCTGTAGCAACATGCCGTAACACGAAATACGAAAAAAATAAGAAAGGAAGAGAAATACGATAGGAAGAGATTGTATTTCATGCTTTCCCAAAGGACAATTTGTTTTTGTCGAAGGAATGGATACATAAATATTGAAGACAGGATTCTATTAATGTGAAAAACGCAAGAATTTGCGGCGAACATTTTCTGTGCAGTGATTATGAAGATGACATGAGAAATCGCTTGCTTGGATTGCCGCAAAAGAAACTGTTCAAATGCAATACTGTGCCGAAAGTAAATTTATCGTGTGCAGTAAACGAAATAACACCAAGAAATCGGAGACATTTGAAAAGAAAACTAATGCAGAGTGCTTTTGAAAGACTACACGAATTAAGCACAAAGAAAATCTATTTTGAGACCGAGAACGAAATTGAAGCTGACAATGATAAATCAAATATGAATGATTTTGAAATAAAATTCACAAATGACAATGCCCTAAGTGACAATAACCCTGAATGACCTAAGTGTAAAGATAAACAAGAATGTATTGATAATCTGAAGAACAAAATAATATCCTTAGAAAATTGTAATAAAATATTGAAAAATAGCGAAAAGAAAAATTTTATAGAATGTTTGCTCAGCGACAAAGAAGGTGGACGACATCTAGAAAGAAATTTGTAACGGAAATTCAGAAATTAAAATCCCAAACAGCGAAATTTAGGAAAAAACAACACAGATCGAAGAATTTGGAAAAACGTCTAAAGCATATTTTTACAAAGACGCAGATTGACGCATTGATAGAAAAGAAGGAAAAAATCAGGTGGACTAGTGAAGATATTTCACGTTGCATTGTCAGAGCTCTGTAGGATACGTTTCTTAAATAGAAATGCATGTCTTTTCCCAAAGAAAAGCAACCCAAAAGGCAAAAACGTGGATTGCTTCGAATGTGGTAGCCAATAAATAATATTTCAGCAACTTGTAGTTTGCATTGTGACTGTACAAGTAAGCATATATAATATGTTTTGATTTGAAATATTTCGAGATGACATTTTAGAAGTTAATAGCGTAAAGCATATTTCAAATGAGAACTAATTTTGTTAAGTTATTTTTATTGTATCCTGTGTTATTATTGATTCGATTTTGTGCTAGCTTAGCAATCTAGATAAAATATAATAGTATAACATTAAAGGAATTGGCATAAGAAAACTTGCCTCCTTAACCCCCACTTTTGAAAAATTAAATAATTTTTTTAGGTACTGTGAGTAAAGTTGTTTTGTCTAAATTAGGATAACAATCTTTCATGCATTTATTTAAATGTAATATTGATGTTAAGTTACAAAATTATTAAAAAAATATATGTTATTATATTGAATCGGGAGAAAAATATACCAATGTAAAATTTACAATTAGGCTGAAACTAAACTCAGATTAGCAGAAATTTTGAAAACTATGCCAATTTAAGGTTGTTTCTTGATTAATTTTAAACAGCTGTTATTATAGTTATCTTAGAAGCAGTAGTACCGTTCTCGGTACTTACGTATTAACGCAACCAGGCCAAAATTCGCATAAATTGCCAAATTTGGCGACCCTACTTACGGCAACCCTACGTGTTATACGTAGTTTTGTAAAAAGAGCATGTGGAGATTCACAAAATTTTCCTGCATTTTCGTGTAAATTTTTATAATTTATGAGAAAATAGCAGTGTACATGGATAAAGTGAAGAGTTTGCGCAATGCCATTTTTGTGCAATTCTGGGATGTTTTTTAAGTAAAAACAAGTCGACGTGTACATGGTTATGGCGAATACGGTTTTCAATCAGTGCTAAAAGCAATAGCCAAAAGATTTCCATTGAAAAAATAATTCCGCAACTTATTCAAATTCGAAACCGGAAGGGTTTAATTGCTATTTTATATTTTAAAACAAAATAATATAAAAAGCTGTATTAAAAATTATCTGTAATTAATAAATGTACATTTTCTTTCTATTCATACTTTTTTACTCAAACTTACAAATAGCGCCAACCTGGTTGCGATAATACGTAAGGACCCAGTTCTCTTAGTTAACATGCAGATAAATGAATGATTAGAAATAAACAGGCATTTAAAGGAAAAAAAAAATTCCTGCAAATTAAAAAAAAAGGGAGGGGGGAATTTTATTCTAAGAGTAGCGCATTTTATCTGAATACTGCAGTAACATTGTCTCTTCTAAATTATAGTAGCTATCTTTCACACACAGCTCATTTTAAACGCTGGTTCTTCAGATTTAAAACGCTAATTTCTATGTTGTCAATTGCATCTCCGCCCTCAGTGTCATCACGGCTACATCATCACTCCCCACTGCCTGTTTCAGGGGGAAAAGCTCTATGAGCTAGCCCTTCTCTTTTAAGTCCTGTATATTAAGGGCTTTTGGTCAGTGTAGATTGTAAAGACCCTGCCTTCAAGCATGTGCCGAAACTTTTTAATAGTTCTCGATCATAAGTTGACCATTTCCTTCGACTTTTGCTGAGTTTAACGGATAGAAACGCAATGGGTTCCCAAACTGAATTATGCAGTTGCATTAATGAGCTACCAACCGCAACGTCCGATGCGTCAGTACAAAGTTTCAAAGTCGCACCAGGAATTGGGTGTTTGAGAAGGGTTGCCTCAGCAATTGCCCTTTTTGCATTTTCGAATGCTTTCTCGGCTTCGTCGTCCCATTCGAGAGGATATTCTTTTGTTTTGCTTGGTTGTGAAGTTTCCTTTTATTAATGCGGCTTTCCTGTAACCTATTCAAGGGAGCTAAAACATGTGAAGCTCTTGGGACAAAACGTCTGTAAAAATTAAATATGCCAAGAAATTTCCTTAACTGAGTTAATGTGTTTGGTTTAGGAAATTTTTGAATAGCTTCTACCCTCTCGGGTCAAGGTTTTAAACCCTGTTCAGATACATGAAAACCCCAAAAATTCCAAAAGAAGTTCAACCGAAAATTGCATTTAGATACATTAAGTCTTAACCCATAATTACTTAATCTTTCAAAAAGGGCTTTTAAGTGTATCAAATGCTCATTTCCGTCATTTGACGCTTATCAATATATCGTCAACAAAAGCAAATACACCTGGCAGCTCGCGAGTTACTTCATCAATAAAGCGTTGAAGAGGTTTGCAGCTGCATTGCATAATCCAAATTGCATTCTTGTGCTCTCAAAATGTCCAAAAGGAGTGGGAATAGCCGTTTTATGGATATCAGAGGGATTAATTGGAATTTGGTGATATGCTTTAACCAAATCTAATCGAGAAAATACCTATGTTCCATGTAACTCCGCTGCAAAATCGCAAATATTTGGGAATAGGATACTTATCCTTCACTGTCTGAGCGTTTAACCTCCGAAAATCTCCCACAGGTCTCCCTCAATTCGTTTGTGCCCTTTTTTGACACCATGTGAAGAGGAGAGGAGAACTTACTTTTGGAGGGTCGCATGTGACCTAAATTGATCATTTTCTGAATTTCATGCTTAGCAATCTTTAATCTATCTGGAGCTAATCTCCTTGGCTTACATGAAACAGGAGGACCAATGGTTTCAATGAAATGCATAGTATTATGCTTAACAGTCTTATTGAGATCAGGAAGCTTTGACAGTGAAAGATACTTAAACAGTAATTTATCATAAATACAATTTATTATAATTGTTTTAACAGAATATAAATGTGTGTTAATTACACTGCAGTTAATTTTTAAATGTGTTTTTAAATCAACACGTTTTTTGTTCCTTAAATCAGGTAATAAATCAAAATAATGCAAGAAACCAGATCCAATAATATTTGTTGACACTTTACACACATAAAAAGTAAAATTGAAATTACGAAGAAGTTTAAGGTCAATACTTAACGCTTTTTGTCCATAAACTGGAATAGGGGTACCATTTGCTGCAGAAAACGTGATAATAGGTGTTTGACGCGCTTCCTGTCTGGTTGCTGAAAGAAGACTGACGTCTGAGCCAGTGTCGCACAAAAATATTCTATTCGATTTACTGTCTCTAATGAAAAGGCGACGAGACTCAGAGGGTAAAGCGCATGCCGCCACTACACTTTCCCTTGAATGTACATGGTGGAACACACTTTTTAGCTTTATCGCTAAATTTATGATGATATCAACAAGAGGAACAGTTCGAAGCAGCTTTAGCTGAAGGGCTTCGCTTCCTGTTATAGCGATTTTTGGAAATACTGCATGATCGTCGTAGAGACAAAACCTCGCTACGCAATTTGCACACTTCCTCCATCAGATAATCCAATTTAGAATTCTCAGAGACATTGAGAGGTACACAAGAAGAAACTTCGCTTACCTGAGGGTGTAACTCCCAATATTCTATCCGCGGTACTGGTAGCTTTCGATGAATCGAGTGGCTCAACCGAAGCTAGAATAGACAGAACATTTGGCGGCAGCTGGTGCATGAATAATTCCAGTAACAAAGAGTCAGGCACATTGTCTTTTTCAGCCCTCCTTGTCATTACTCGTAGAAGTTCTGATGGCTTTCTATCTCCAAGTTGCTCGCCGGTGAATAATTTCCGTATTTCACTCGCACTGCTTTCACCACAGCGTTAAGTAATAGCAGCTTTGAGGTCTTCGTAAAAAGCATCTGTACGTTTTCGGAGAATCATATCTCTAACCAACGCAGTAATATCCGGCGGCAAATGAGCGACGCAGTAGTTAAATTTTGTCTTCGAATCCGTAATGGAGGCTTGGGTGCGGCTAAAGCAAAAAGTTGTTTCACACATAGCAAACCACAATGCCGGGTCAATCGGATTGTAAAGTGGAATCATCTGACGGACTGCTGTTGTTTCCATCCATGTCAGCGGCTGAAGGGAAAAAAACACAAAAGTTCTGGAACCAACTTTTGAACGAACAACCAGTATAAGCTTCATACAAGTAGCCGGATACCCTGCCATTTTATGGTCGTTAACGCCGAGTCACCATTTTTATGGTGGCGTGGTGGTTATGTGCTTGGTATATATCCTTGAATTGACATTACTCCATTTACTTAAACATAACCTTTATTCACACAATACCATAACTTTAAACACAATTGAAATAACAGAACGAATAACAAAATCTACTAAGCTAAAATTCAAACATCCTATGCTACAACTAAGGGCGAAGTGAGTGAGTTCACTGCCGCGCTAGCAGTTTTTACATAAACCACATGACGTGGATTGGCTGCGCACGCAGTCGAACATTAGATTGCCACAACAGCATTGTCTCTCAGCATAAAACATGGACAAAACCGAGTGACAAAAATGATTGTATAAATGAGTAACAACTATCCCCGGGCCAAATTGGAGTCAAAAGCGCAGGTATCTCAAGAAGGTATAATGATGTCCACAGAGTGATATTTTTAAAGCAATGCAGTATTTTTCCAACATAAAAACAACATTTTTTTTAAATGTTCACTGGACCAGAAGAAATAATTTAATATACATCAGTCTCAGAATTGTCGCTGTGACAGATTTGAGAATTAACAGATGAGGTTCCATTTTTTAAGTGTACCATACTACATTGTACAGTACGGATGAAAACCAAGGGTAGAATTGGAAGTAGGTGATATTATAGTTCCTTAGCTAATTATTATTACGTACGGTAAAAATATATTTAAAATACACTCGAAAGAGACCCGTAACACTATATCCATCAACACTACTCAAAGCAGAGCATTACGCCAATTTTACAGTCTACAGTAGCGCATGAAAAGAAAACTTTTTGCCATTTAATAACACGAAACGCAAACAGTATTTTAGCTTTTAATTCTGTGTGCGCACAGTATATTGTATATTATGGCTTATTTTAAATTACATTAAGATTTTATCTTTCTTTTTGCACTAAATTTTATTTTCGATAAGTGAATTTATTCTGGCCATCGGATTGTCTCAGTGTCTGAAGGATAATCGAAAGTGATAACCCTTAAATCTCTCCTCCCCAACTGTTGTAAAAGGTTAAAAATAATGACACTTTTTTTTTATTAAAGAAAATTAAAATTTGAATAATTCGTGATTTTAAAAAAGGCGTATAAACTTAATTTTTGTGGGTAAACTTAATTTTATGCAATGGGACTATACCTGTACAACGTACGGTGAAATTCTGGCGCTCATTTTAAACGTTGTCAGCAACATAATGCTCTCATTTGCTTATACGTAAGAAATAACTAATAAAATAGTGCTGATCATGTTAAAATACATGCGTTTATATGAATATCCTTAATTTGAAATCTAACCCACAACAAGGTTACTCCAAAAAATTTAAATCGGCCCGGCTCTAAACATAGACGACCTGGTAGTCGGCTAAGACGTCCATTTTTGGAGGACATAAACTGTTTCTTGCAAGCGACAATTAAATAAATATACATTTTGGTTTGAACTATTATGTTAATTTATACGGGGCGCCAAATGCACTGATTATATATATAGGACGTTGAAAATGCTGGATCCGGGCTTGATTTAATGTGTGCAGAAGTTCTACTCATTTTATAGAAGCAAACTGCAATCGGACGACATATATCGAAGCTGAAACTGAATGACCAGAATCATCTACTAACGAAAAGTACAGCAACAGCGCTTATAAAAACATTGAGTTTGTTAAAGCAACTAATTCATATGTTAAACTGGTTACAATAAGATACAATTAAACCTCAAGATACTGTTTATTCTACGAGTTTCGTGTAGACTGTGTTGCAGTCGCAGCTTGCTATATCATTTTTTGACGACAGCACATGTCACAGAATGGACACAAATGATGTACATATCAAGACACGTTCTGGACTTTCATCTGATAAGTTTTAGCCTAAAGTATAAAGAACAAATCGTATCCAATTTTTCCGAACTAGAAAAAACACTGTCGGAGAATAAAATAAACAATATTCATTTACAGAAATATATCATAATTTATCGAAAGCTAAATACAAGCTTATGGGTTGATGCCACAGTTACATCAGTAGGTTCCAACCAGCTTTCTACTGATACTTGGCTATCTCGTTAAAGAAGTGAATCATTTTGGAACGAATGTAAAGTAAGATGAGAAATGGTCTCCGTACGGTAACGGGAAGCCGTGAAGGTTAGATACCGAGCAGTGCAGTGTCACCTCTTTCAGAAACATAGCATGAAACTAGGCCAGCTCTTGTATTTGGAGATCTCCATTGGAGATTGAGGTACCGCTGAGCCTAATATTAGAAACGACACCCAACTGGGGAGAGAGGGGGCACGAGAACTCAGCTTGGCCGTGGCTCAGCGCTTACCTGATTCCACCTCGCGAACAGCCAAGCGCCTATGGAACACCTCATCCGAATCCCGAAGTCCAGACGCACCCGTCATTTTTATTGAAACTTGAATTTTGTATATATGTTAATCATTTGTATATAATTTAATTTGCTTTGTTATACTGCCAGCTTTTTATGTGACTTGGTATAATTATGATTTGATCTATTTCAAAAGCAGGATTGCATCTCAAAGAGATTTTGTTAAATGTATAATGGGATGTCAAGAGAATAATCAGCTGGATGAATTCAAATATAAATGCTGGCTTTTACTACTAATAGTTAGTCAGACTGAAAGCAGAAATTATAATTAAGCAATTAGAACTTGTTAAAAGTAAAACCATTATCTATTTACGATGATTCATAACGTTACACATCATGCAGTTTTAATTACTTGAAAAAATTGCTGGTCTTCGATTAGAACAAGTCATTCCCCCCCCAGAGTACTTCCCTGACCTTGAACTTACAGATTATTACCTTCTTCAATCATTAAAGAATACTTCTAAGAAACTGCAATTATATGATGGATATGAAAACAGCATCACTAGATATTTTTTATGCTAAACAGAAGAATTTTTTTATATGGGATAAACCTACTGCCAGACATTCGGCAAGAGGTCATTTGTAATGCTAATAATAATAACATAGCTCCTTGTGCTTTTTGGATTGAACAATGGGTAGAATGTTTGCCCACACCCCAATGCATAAATCCAAGAAACTAGTATTAGCCACTCAAGTATTAAGCAAAAGCTTAATATATTGTTACGAATTTGGTATTTAAAAAGCTAATGTTAGTTCAATTATAAATTAAATGGTTTTATTTCTCGCGCAGTGCAGCGCGTGAGATATAAAAGAAGCTAAGCCGGAAAATTAAAAATACAAGAGCGTGTGCGTTAAATAAATAAATCTCTCTTTTGATTCGAGAAGTACTGGAAAATTCTAGCGCGTGATTTTAAAATCTTATAAAGAGGAAAACATCTCAGTTAGTAGTATTTGCTTAGTTTGTGTTGTTGAAACTACTGTGTTGTTGTACGAATCGCGGATTAGCGTTCTTTAGCTTTTGAATTACGTTTCTATTGGTATTTGAGTAGTTAAAAGATAACTACTGTGAAATATTGTAATACTGCATAATTTGAGAAATTTAAGCATTTTTGTTGTGATAATAATAAATTTTTGTTCATTTTCATCGGACTTGTGCATCATTTCGTAACGAACCCGTACGCACGCAAACAATTTTTGGTGTCAGAGTGGGATTTGAATGCCAATAACAAAGCGAGGAGAACAATTCAGGCAAATGATGACTGCATTGCTGCTTTCCAAAAGATGAAGGACCGTCAACTCCGTTAAGAAGAAATTAAGGGAGATGAAATTGGCCAAATCCGTTAAGGAAGAATGAAGGCCATTCAACTGGTCATTAACTTTAAAGACAAAAAAAGTTGTTAAGGAATCTTTAAAGAAAATAAACCTTTCAAGTCAAGATGAAGAAAGTCAATGCGAAATGAAAAGAGAAATTGCCGCATAATAGAACCAAATTCGATGCTATGGAAGGCAAATAGATGTGGTTGAGAATAAA